TTCTCCAAAACCGAGTTTCTTGTCTTCCCCCCAGCCCGGACCCCACCCCCCATTGACTTCTCCATCACGTCCAACAACGCCACCATCAAACCCGCCCCGCAGGCCAGAGTACTTGGTGTCATTCTGGACTCCAACCTGTCTTTCCAGCCCCAAGTCCAATCTTTAACAAACTCATGCCGACTCCACCTCCGCAACATCGCCAAAATCCGCACGTTCCTAACCCCAGAAACCACTAAACAGCTCATCCACTCCCTCATCATATCACGACTCGATTACTGCAACTTCCTCCTTACTGGCCTGCCTTGCCGCTGGCTATCCCCGCTTCACTCGATCCTGAATACGGCTACCAGACTCATTCACCTTTCCAACCTCTCCGTTTTCGCCACCCCCTAAGCCAATCCCTCCACTGGCTTCCGATTGTGCAACGGATCAAATTCAAAATCCTAACACTGACGTACAAAGCCGTCCACCATACTGCCCCGAACTACATCACCGACCTAATATCCAAGTACCACCCAGCACGCACACTCCGCTCCTCACAAGACCTTCTCTCTAGTTCTCTGGTCTCCTCCTCCCATGCCCGCCTCCAGGACTTCTCCAGGGTGTCACCCATCCTCTGGAACTCCCTGCCCCAACCCATCAGATTATCACCTACTCTCCTCCTTTAGGCGCACACTGAAAACCCACCTCTTCAGGGAAACCTACCCCACCCCCTGCTATCTTGCCGTTCTCCTCCACTCTTCCTACCACTCCATCCCCCACAGCTTTCTCCTCCTGTGCCACCATCCCCTCCCTCCTAGATTGTAAGCTCGAAAGAGCAGGGCCCTCAATCCCCTCATGTGTTACATTGTATTGTTATTGTTCTGTCACATGTTCTGTCCCCCTTTGTAATGTACAGCACTGAGCGAACTATTGGCACTTTATAAATACTGTATAATAATAATAGATCTTTGTTAGGTTATACCTATATATCCTAAAGCATTTAACAGGTAAAATTGCCCAAAGTTTATCTCAACCTATTGAATTATAATCTTTCCATAGTTTCCGTTACATTTAATTAATCTTTTTTTTGTTTATCCCATTGTGCCTAGATGATATCTGATGCGCATTATATCCTCTACAACTGTTTTGGACGTGTAGGCCAATTAAGATTTTTTAGGTCATTTTCTTCTAGCTCTGAGCTTTCACATCCAGGGTGAGCCATTGAGTCCCATATATATGTATATATATTTGATTACATACCCTGTATTGGATATATTAAAGTTGTTTGGTAATTGAACAGTTTTTTTTTATATATACTTTTAGACTGCCTTGGCGGTAGAAATTTCCCCAAAAATCTTCCCTGAAGAAGCCCGTGAGGATGAAACATGTAGGGAGTATACTACATTTACCTAACCAAGTCTGAATCTCAGTTGGTATTCTTAGAATTGAAATTGTTTTTATGTTTTTGTATCCTTTCCTTTCTTGTTTTACCAAAATACAAAATAAAAATTATATATCTTTTAATGTGTGATATTCATGTCTTTGCACCCTGAAAGTCCCATCTTCTCTATTGATTATTTATAAATATTTTGATGTCTTGGGAAATAATACCCCTATACTTACACCTCTTTGTAATAAAACTGCTAGTTCTTCCTTACCTGTCTTATAGTTTAAAGATCTTTTCCCCATCCTGCAACAGGGATGCAGGTTTGTTACAGAGCTCCCACTTTGGGACTCCTTTCGTCCCCCTGTCTCTTCACATTAGATGACATCCTAACCCTATATGGCTTCATTCTGGGCCTTTTCCATGTGGCTATACATCTTGTAGGTACTGTCATCTTAATGCTCGTTCCTGAGTATTTAAGTCCTTAGCTACTGGAGAGCAATTCACCATCAAGCAATATATAAATTCTAACACTACTTTTGTGGTAAAATGCAAGATATGTTCTTTGCAATATGTAGGTTGTACCATGTGCCCCTTAAAATTAGAATTTCTAAACACTTCTGTGAGTCACAAAATCCCAATGCCAAAGTGATCTTGAGTGTATCAAGACATTTTAAAGGATAACATTTAGGAGATATGAGAGGCTTTGGTTTTTGTGGGATTGAATGTATTCCTCATGCTGTGGGGGACATCATCAGAAGCTTTTGGCTTGCAAGGCTTGGTGGATTTTTAGGTTAGGAATCAGAGTCTCACATGGCCTTAACCACAGGTGGGACCTAGATCTACACCTGAATTAGTCCACCACTGCTCTCCCTGTACATATTCTTCCCCCTAGGTGGCCTGTGTCATGTGTTCATACACTAAATGTTTACTAATTCCTACTATTTAAAAAAAAAAAAAATTCATGCATTCATGTTGTTTATATTGACTGCAAATTGGTATTGATATATTTTAATTTATCAGAAAGAGGGAGCAGTACAATTGGTAATTTACGGAGGTGTTGATCTAATTACCCATGATTGTTGATTCTCCAGTTGCTCTGCCCTCCCATCCCCTTTTTTGCCCACCTGTTTTCTAGAATATTGAAGAGCTGTTCACATGTAACTATTTTGTTATGACTAAGGCCTATGTAGGAGGCTGAAACGTATCAATTTTTGTAATTTCTACAGGAATGCATTCCTTTTTATGCTTGATGGATGAAATAAAGCCATAATAATTTTTATTTTGAGATGTCTTGGTGCCAGATTTTTACTTTAACATAAGGTTTTCTTTTAGCTGTATTCAATATCAGTGTGATTCGCTCAAGCCAACCCAGATTTTAACAACAGATGGATGCAGCCAATGAAGATATGTAGTCCATGTAAGATGGTCCAGTCCAAAATTGACTGCAATATGGTCCAACATTTTTGGACACCTTCAAAACTTATTTCACCTAATTGATCCTAAAGATGCTCGACAAGCCCTCCTCCACCTCTCGATTCCAGGCCTTGATCTACAGCAACAGAAATTGGCTACGTACCTGTTTTTGGCAGCAAAGCAAATGATACCCAGGGCCTAGAAAAAATGCTCAATCCTGTTACAGCATGTCAAAAACTTATGAGTAGAATGGTCATGAGAAAATTGCTTTGCTTCCCCAGTTCTTCTTTTTTTTTTTTCGGTTCACTCCTTTGAGCCTCCTATGTGAGTTTGCTGGTTTGTAGATTTTGGGTGCCTATCATATGTTCATTTAGGAAGTTTCTATGGGTATTGCACTGTTTGATATGCTTTTTTGTTGTGCTGTATGGTTCACATCCTTGTCAGTTACTGCAGCCCCTGCGTGGCTTAACTATTAGTTTTTTTGTCTTCATAAATAATGGAAAGAAATTAAAAAAAAAAATTTAAATATATATATATACACACACACTTCTCAAACCATTAAAGGAACAGCTTGAAAATACGATCTCAGTGGGGAAAAATATGCTGGATATCTATACTGATATGGACTGGGTAATGTGTTGGGAACGTAAGAATGTCACATCGTTTGAATTCAGTCCTCTGTAGATCGATAATTTTCATTTCCATCAAAGAAACCCCGAAAATCAAAGTGAAAAGATGATGTAGCAGACTAGTCCATTTTGCTGAAATTTTATTGCAGCAACTCAAAATAGTACTCAGTAGTATGTATGGCCTCCACGTGCTTGTATGCATGCCTGACAACATCAGGGCTTGTTCCTAATGAAATGACGGATGGTGTCCTGGGTTATTTCCTCCCAGATCTGGACCAGGGCATCAGTGAGCTCCTGTACAGTCTGAGGTGCCTGGCTGCATCGGATGGACCAAAACATGATATCCCAGAGGTGTTCTATTGGATTTAGGTCAGGCGAGTGTGGGGGCCATTCAATGATATAAATGTTTTCATCCTCCAGGAACTGTCTGCATACTCTCGCCACATGAGGCCAGGCATTGTCGTGCACCAGGAGGAACCCAGGACCCACTGCACCAGAGAGTGCAAGGAGAACCAGGAAGACCACTGCCAGAGCCATACAAAATGACCTCCAGCAGGCCATTGGTGTGAATGTCTCTGACCAAACAATCGGAAACTGACTTCATGAGGGTGGCCTAAGGGCCCGACGTCCTCTAGTGGGCCTTGTGCTCACTGCCCAGCACCATAGAGCTCGATTGGCATTTACCATTGAACACCAGAATTGGCAGGTCCGCAACTGGTGACCTGTGCTTTTCACAGATGAAAGCAGGTTCACCCTGAGCACAAGTGTGAAATGTGAAAGCATCTGGAGAAACCGTGGAGAACGTTTTGCTGCCTGTATCGTCCAGCATGACCGTTTTGGTGGTGGGTCAGTGATGATCTGGGGAGGCATATCCATAGAGGGACACACAGACCTCCACAGGCTAGACAATGGCATCCTTACCGTCATTAAGTACCAGGATGAAATCCTTGGAACCATTGTCAGGACCAACAGATGAGTAGAGAGAAAAATGTCAGTGGCCTCCACCTGTAAAACCATTGCTATTTTGGGGGTCGTCTCATTGTTGCCCATCTAGTGCACCTGTTGTTAATTTCATTACACCAAAGCAGCTGAAACTGATTAACAACCCCCTCTGCTACTTAAGTGACAAGATAAACACCAGGAGTTTAATTGACTTGATCCTATACTCTGATTAAAAAGTTTTCCTTTAATTTCTTTGAGCAGTGTGTATGTATGTGTGTGTGTGTGTGTATATATATATATAATATATATATATATATATATATATATATATATACATACAGTATCTCACAGGAGTACACCCCTCACATTTTTATAAATATTTTATTGTATCTTTTCATGTGACAACACTGAAGTAATTACACTTTATATACATATATATAATTTTTTTTTAGATTATTTATATACTATGTTAATATTCCATCAACACTGTTAAACAGACTTATGGGTTCTCTCGTCTACATCAAAGAAAGCACAATTCTAAGAAAAAAAGTCCTAATTTTCACCAAAGCCTTTAAGTACGCCGGCGATAATAGTAGAACAAATTGTGAATATCTGTTTTTTGGTTTTTTTTTTTAATTTTGAAAATGGTAATTTTAGAGCAACTTAAACTATACAGTCATACAGATAAAAAAAAGGAGTGCATTATGATTGCTATAAATTGTCTGCATGCACATTGGTATGTTACAGACAATTTTGTTTGTTGCTTATGCTTGCTTTGGTTTGCAGCTCAGGCATCATCTGGGAGCACATGCCAAAACAGAAGTGGAAGCCTTTTAGTCAGAAGCGAATCCTACAACTTGAACAAGCCTATGAGAAATACCTTACAGGGGAGAAAAGCAGATATAATAAAATTGACAATAATTTTGAGGTGAGTCTAACGTTATTATAGCGTAATGCACATAGGTTATATTTCCATCAGTTTATTTCTGTTGGTTGTCTGCAAAAGAAGTGTGCAAGAAAATACCTACTGATAGTTCGATTAACAGCGTCTCCCAAAATAGGATATGTAAAAGTAGGTAGGATTCATTGGGGTTCCCTGTGATCCTCCTAGACTTAATGACATCATTGACAGTGTTATTAAACAAATGCTCCAAAACAATAATACCCAATTTTGCGTAAGGTGAATCCACTACCAATATATAGTCCACTATAAATCTTATGCAAAAAAATGTCCCATATTCTTCCAACGATATTCCAAAACACAGTCCACCTCAAAAAAAAGAAAACTCATATAGTGCATTATCCTTTATAAAATTATATATTTAAACTTTATTTGTGCTTCCTATAGTGAAAATACGTGAAAAAATAGTGAAAAAACGTGAACCACACGTGATCCGTGAAAAACCACTTCAGTGTACACAGCACTCTTACAGTGCCATATCACAGAAAATCCAAAACTAAAAATGTGTACACTTCTAGATGCAGTAAGGGTACCCTTACCAACTTTCCCAATATAATAGGCTTTGTAACAATCCAGGAACTTTTTCAGGCTGATCAACTCAGGAACCTCTGCTGTATCCCGCAGCCACCCCACTCTCTGGATTCCTCAGACACTCTGCTCACAGTGTCACCAAAAAAACATAGAGGACATAGTGTGATACCGCCAATAAAATGAATAATAAACACTTTATTTGTAACTGCTCACATTGCCAAAGTTTAAACAACGCATTAGAGGGAGTTCAGAAGGTGTAAGGATCTCACAGACATCCAGGGAGACACGTCCCGTCGCTCCTGCTCGATCTCTCCCTTATCTAAAATGGCCGCCAGGTAACTTCTGGTTTCCGGGAAAACGTCTTAACGTCACTCCCGGATCACATGTGGTTCACGTTTTTTTTTTCACTATTTTTTCACGTATTTTCACTATAGGAAGCACAAATAAAGTTTAAATATATAATTTTATAAAGGATAATGCACTATATGAGTTTTTTCTTTTTTTTGAGGTGGACTGTGTTTTGGAATATCGTTGGAAGAATATGGGACATTTTTTTGCATAAGATTTATAGTGGACTATATATTGGTAGTGGATTCACCTTACGCAAAATTGGGTATTATTGTTTTGGAGCATTTGTTTAATAACACTGTCACGTATATAGTTTGGTACACTTTCAGGGGAAGGTGTTGATTGTGTTATAGGGTAATCATATTAGGAAGGAGGTGGTTGATGTTTAATTAATGACATCATTGCCCCAAAGAATATATCTTTGTGTTCACCTTAAACTGAGGTAGTGGCAAGTTGAGCCATGAAACTTTTTGTTCAAGTAAAGCTGATCACTCCTACCTACTTTCACACATCCTATTCCAGGCACCTATGCAGATCAAACTACAAACAATTTTTTGGGGGTTTTTTTGCATACTTTTGTTGTACACAACCAACTTTTTGCATCACCCGAGATTCCCAGAGAGGCCCCAGGATGGGAACACCTGAGGCTTACAGAGCAACGTGCTTTCTCCACCCACACACTCAAAAGGTTGCTTGTTTTCCCATTCTTTTGAGTGACCGCAGCCTCAACAGCTATAAGTTATTTATTTATTTTTATTCTTTCCACTGTTGAATCGATTTTTTTTTTTTTTATGAAATATCATACCACTTATTAAGAAATTTACTTCATTACAAAGGCTTTCCCATCTCCCTTTTTTTTCTGTTGGACACCCCAACCTTCACCTGAGGTCAGCTTCTTTGCGACTGCACGTTTTTGGGCCTTGCTTGACTACCACACCACAACCTCTAATCATTTTTTTCTACTTTTCTTGCATCTTAAGGTCAGTTTCAGTACTATGGATATGTGTTTGCCATCAAAGTGCAAGATAAGGAGAAGTTTCCGATCTGGAATTCATATAGAATTCAAGCAATCTCCACACCAAAGAAGTTTACGAGCCCAACTATACTGGCTTCAGGTACCCAGATTTTACATACTTCCCTGGAAACCAAACGTAACAAAATTTCTCTAAAAGAAGGGGCTTTTATTAAAAGTTTAAAGGATAAGTTCACCTTTTGTAACCACCTTTCACCCCCGCCCTATAGTACAATGGTGGGCTCAAGGTGGTTCTCTTGTTCTGATAGGACGTCCTACCAGTCTCACTGCGCATGCGCAGCTCAGGGAGTGTGCAACGCAGCGATCGCCGGTGCACAGCGGATCACGGAAAAAGCCGAAGATGTCGGCTCGGTCATGTGATCAGCTGTGTCCAATCACAGCTGATCACATGTAAACACGGAAATGCCGGTTATCGGCATTTCTCTCCTCTCGAGCTGTCACGCTGACAGCTCGAGAGGAGAGCCGGTAATCGGCTTTCCGCGGAGGGGACATGTACACTGATCATCAGGGCACTGATGATCAGTGTGCGCCCAGAAGTGCCACCTGTTAGTGCCCATCAATGCCACATATCAGTGCCCATCTGAGCTGCCTTTCATGTCACCCATCCATGCCAGTCAGTGCCACCTATAAATGCGCGTCAGTGCCGCCTATCAGTGCCAGTCAGTGCCATATATCAGTGTCATGTATCAGTGCTGCCTTTCAGTGCCCATCAGTGATGCCTGTCAATGTCCATCAGTGCAACCTACTAGTGCCTCCTCATCAGTGTCCATCAGTGCAGGCTATCAGTGCCCATCACTGCAGCCTCATTAGCGCACATCAGTGAAGGAGAAAAATCACTTATTTACAAAATTGTATAACAAAAACTAAGAAAAAATGGGGGGTTTTTTTCAAAATTTTCAGTGGTTTTTGGTTTGTTTAGGAAAAAATAAAAATCCCAGAGGTGATTAAATACCACCAAAAGAAAGCTCTGTCTCAAAAAAATGATAAAAATTTCATAGAGGTACAGTGTTGCATGACTGTGCAATTGTCATTCAAAGTGTGACAGCGCTGAAAGCTGGAAATTGGCCTGGGCAGGAAGGGGGTATAAGTGCCCTGTAGGCTAGTGGTTAAACAGGTTACATGTTACGGCCATCCACTGTCACCCCTCTGTCCAAGGTTTTGCTCACCACTTCATAAAAAGAAATCAGATTTCTTTGACAACTTCTGTCTTTCATGAATCCATGCTGTTGCTTAAAATATTTTTTTTCCAGCAAGAACTCATCTATGTGGTTTTTTTTTTTTTAATCTCTCCAGTATCTTCCCAACTATAGAAGTTAAACTAACAGGTCTATAATTACTTGGTACAGATTTTGACCCCTTTTTAAATGTAGGCACCACATTGGCCTTACGACTATCCAGTGGTACTATGCCAGTCATTAAAGATTCCCTAAAAATTAGAAACAATGGCTTTGAAATGACAGAGCTCAATTCATTAAGGACCCGTGGGTGTATGCTGTCCAGTCCAGGTGCTTTATCCACCTTTAGGCTGTCTAAATATTTTTGGATCATATTAATTGTGAGCCAATGTGGATCATTTGGAGCTGTGTCAATACCATGCCCATTATGGACAAGAGCTCCCCCATGCTCCTTTTGTATACACAGAGCTGAAGAAGGTATTTAATAAATTTGCCTTCTTTGTCCCCAGTCACCCACTCTAGATTGTGTAAAGGGCTTACATGCTCAGACCAGAACTTTTTACTATTAATATATTTGAAGAATTTTTGTAGGTTGGTCCTGCTATCTTTTGCAATCTGTAATTCGTTTTCAATTTTTGCGACCTTTATTTCCTTTTGCATATTCTGTTATATTCTTTGTAATGTTTAAACGATGATAGCATTCCTTCATTTTTATATTTAATAAAAGCTCTTTTCTTATTATTTATAGCTTTTTAACTTTGGCCGTAAGCCACATCGGTTTGATTTTTATCCTTTTAAACTTGTTGCCCATGGGAATATACTTTGCAGTGTGTTCACATACAGTGTTTTTGAAGAACTCCTATTTCTATGTTGTTTTACTTGTGCTAAAAGACAGTATTTATGGTTCTACATTTTGCACAGCACTTTGTAAGCTCTTATGGGCAGGGCCCTTCTAACCCTCTTGTAGTCTACAAGGCATCACAACTTAACTCTCACAGTGTACAGCTGGGAACAAAATAAGGCTAATATTAACCAGGCAACACATTTTACAAGGTACAACAAATCTCACCACCCTACCCAACCACCCCATCAAACTGTTGTTAGGTGCAAGATTCTCAAACTGGGTACAAAAAAAAAAAACACAACAACATGGCACCAACGCCCACCAGTTCTCACAACAGACATAATTCTGATTATGGTAAGCAGGAGGCTGCATTTCTGTCTACATGATTAAGCAAATTATATCAGTTAGGAATTTTAGGAGTAGAACAATTGAAATATGTTAGTAACAAGGGTTAGCAGACGCTCACAAACCATAAACGCATAGTCAGACTGGATACACAAAAAATTGAAGCTATGCCCACAAAAACCCACTTTTGAGAGACAAATGCACAATTACAGCAAACACACAAATCAAACATGGAGTGTTGGTCATCATGCACAATATCGCCAGGATTGACAGCAAAAAAATCTATCCTCCTCTCAGGCCACACAAACTCCTACTATTTCAGACCTTTATATAACATAGGTTGTATTGTATGCACACCCAATGAAGGACACGCCCATTCAATCTGTCTCTTCATGTATGCTTCAAGTGATTGCACCTGAGTAACAGGCAAATACTCCTCCCAAATGTGTTAGCCCTATGTGTATCAATTCACAGACTACAGGCCAAAGATCTAAGTCCATCAGCATGCAAAGAAAGAAAGCAACAGTTATCTAAGCATATGTACCTGTGCAGTGTAACAGAAAATGTGAAATGTGCAAGTCCCTGGGCATGCTCCGTGCTAAAAAAAAAAAAAAAAATTAAAATAAAAAAAAAAAAAAACAGTTGTAAGTCCTTGGGCATTTGGAGGGTACAGAGAAGGCAATCTCACATTTGTGATGACAGCTTCACCAAAATTGCTGACAAGCACATTCGTCATCAAAACACATGTCCAGTATTTCGCATCTATTCCAATGGCTCTTGTTCACCCCAGTGTGTTCTTGTGCAACCCACCAAATTAGAACATGATGGATGTGTTCTGCATGGACCTACATTGGGACATGGCCTAGAACCTCCTAAACGCACTGACATGTATTACTGCCTGCAAATTTTGTGGGTTGTTAGGAGACAGCATCTGCTGGCATTATACAACCAGAGACTCATCCCCAGTGACAGCAGAATGAAAACAGCATAACCAACATGTACCAAAGAGCATGGGCCCTTCAGTCTGTCACAGATCTGGTGGGGAACCCCATGGCCAAAAAAAAAAAATGTGGCTTCCCCCCCCCAAAATCACTAACACACCCTTATCTGAGCATACAGTCCTACAGGCCAGGAAAGGGGGTGGAGGTGTGAGCCCACGCACATTTTATTTGTAATGTCAGCTCTTTTGCTTCCATTACGTGAAACCTAAAATGTACCAGATTGCAAAAAAACACATAAAAACATGCATTAGTTTTAGTTCAGGTACATATATAGCGCTGTCAATTTACACAGCACTTTACATACATATTGTACATTCACATCAGGCCCTGCCTTTAATGAGCGTACATTGTAAAGTCCCTAACTCACATTCTTATAATGGGGACAATTTAGACAGGAGCCAAACCAAATACCAGCCTGTCTTTGAAGCATGAGAGGAAACCCACACAGGCAGAACATGCATACTCCATGCAGGTAGTGCCATGGTTGGGATTTGAACCAGCAACCCTAGTGCTGCTAGGCAGCAGTACTAACAATAAGCCACTGTGCTGTCACTTGCCTGTCACTTGCCTGTGGTGTGACAGTCCTAAGTCCTTGGGCATGCTCAGTGTAACAAAGAAACATATTTCAAAAGGAATACAAATGTGGTGCTGAATAAGCATAATTCACAAGGCTGCTTATTGTCATTCACGAGTGAAAACATTTGGCAAGATTTGCAATGATGGTGGAACCCTCCTACATATAACTACTTCTATTTGGACATTTACATATAGGTGGTGGACATCCATACAGTTATATGTTTATTTATTTTATGAATTGATATTTTTCTTTATTGGTGTGTCACTGTGGAACAGTGGTGTCACCCTCTGAATTTTTTGTCATCATTTTTATGTGTATTTATGATGTTGGGACACATCACATTTTTTGGAATACTTTTATGATCCTTTGTATTGGGATACATATAGCCAACACACATTGAATTTAGTAACACAGCACAACATTTGTATTCCTTTTAATTTTGCTTCAGCACTGGTATTGTGTGGTTCATGAATACAGCTGTGGGAGTTTGGATTTAGATTTTTGTTAGATGCTGGACACCAAGTGCAGTTTTTTTTTATCATTTAATTAATATATTTCAAAAGTCTTAAGTCCCTGGACATGATCAATACACATGGCAGTACATACATAAGTGTATATATACTGCAGAGAATAAATGCTCAAAAAAGGAATAAAACACGGCACTATCATTATTTTAAAAAACAAGAAAAAAAGGATATTGTATAAGAAGCAAAAAAAAAAAAGTTCTTAGAATATCTATTTTGGTGTTTCTGTGCATAGTAACAGTTCTATAGTTAAAAGTATTGATGTATACTGTTAAATAAATATATATATATTCGTCTTTTTAATAAACATGCTTTAACAGAAACAGGTTCACTCTCTTTCAGAAACAGGTTCACTCTCCATTGACATTTCCAGGCTTGCCAACAAAGGCATTTACTATAGCACTTTAAAAAAACAACCGAGTGAAGGCAGTTTTCCTGGTCTGGGAATGCTTCGTCATGTTTGGATTTTTTTAAATATATCACTTTATACAGACAAATCTAGAATTCTTTTAAAGCAGTTATTCTTAAAAATGTCCTTCATATGTATAGGAAGTATACATTGCTTGAGATCATGTCATTAAAAAGATTTTTCCCTGTTGTTCACCTGGTTCCAAGAGGTGAACTCATTTAGACAGTTGCTGAGATTTGTGACCATTAGTAAATGCCGAATTGTGACTATTTCTGCTCTGAGTGCTTTAGTAAATCTCCTCTCCTCCTAAAAGTAGTCGGTCATGCAAGGAACTGCGTCTATTTGCAGACAACTTGCTTTAGTAAATAAACCCCAATGAGTACAAAACATCTAGTCTTTTAAGTGAATCCAGCATGTTTTTTTACAGAATTTACTATTTTAACCCCTTCGCGCTGGCGCCTCCCAGCCCTTTTAAGGGTTTCAGAAGCTGGGAGGCGGAGCGGGGTTTAGAATCATGTGACCTCTGTGACACGCCGTCACAGCGGTCACATGATCGGGAAAGGTCCCAATCGAAAGAGGAGATCAGGACCTTTCCGTGAGCACTCGACATGTGTACTGGGTGTGCGCTCTCAGCACATATGTTTTTTTTTTTAATATAACGCAAATGTGCGGCCACTCGGCGTCTAGGCCCAGACGCCGGGAGGCCGCACATTTGCGTTCGGCTGGCGTGAAGAGGTTAAATTGATATAAACTCATATCTGGATGCTGTTGCTAGGTATAAATCAGTTGTACCTATTATTCATAATTGATTGAAAGCTTATATTAATTTTTATTAAACCATTGGCTTTTTGAATATTTATATGCTCAGCTTCATTATAGAATAGTTCCAGTATGAACACAATATATTAAAAAAAAAAAAAAAAAAAAGGAAAAGTAATTGTTTAACATGAACATGTAAAAATTATTTTATTCCATCCTTCCCCACGTGGGATTGTCTGACCTAAGAAATTGAAAGCAAGATGCAAAATTGCACACATTCCACACAACTTCTGTCAAAACATGTTATCCAGTTCTCTCACTAAGATCAAAAGCTAATTCAAAGGTAGAGTAATTGAAAGCTTAATTTTGAACAATGATCCTTAGCAAATAGATAATATTTTATTAGCCTAAGATAAATGGGTAAAAACTAGATGATATTTCTCTTTGCACTCTATTTAATAAAGCTTTTACTTTACAGATGGTTGGTAGGAAATGATGAACAAGTTGCTACGATAATGAGAATTTATAGAACTTACTGTTGTGTTTGCTTTGTTAGGTTGATAACCAGCTTCCTGGTTCAATGTTCCCAGCAGTCTTTCATCCAGTTGCACCTCCAAAATCCATTGCGCTGGACTCTGGTATAAACCTATTTGTTAAATTAATTTTTATGTATATTATATTTATGCTTTCTCTTATGGATCTGTACCATTGTAATGCAACCCATTATTATTTAAAATTATGTTAAAATGTATGTGTTAAGTTAGACTCCTGACAAAATAACATTGTTCTTTTTTTATCTTTATTCTGTTTTAATAATTTTCCAAATATTTTAGTACAAAAGAACAATATTCATGATGAAACAAGTACACATAGATCAGAGGAAAGCAAGTACTTCCATACCCATAAAAATGAGTAGTGCATATCATGGCTACGGAAAGCTTTTCTTTTTTTTTTTTTTTTTAATTTAAAAAAAAAAAAAAAAAAGTTCTAAAAAATTTTCAAACAATAGCCTTGAGGTTATGCAAACAATTTCTTGAGTTCTGAAAAATCTCAATCTCTTTGAATCAGAGCTTTGGGAAAATGATTTTCTTTTAACAAAATAATGTCTACATAGAGTGAACAAAATTGTGGATTGCTTAACTCTTCTGGAAACTCAGTTGCGTATATATAAGAGTTGCCACACCCAAACAAAATTGGTAAGGAAAGAATGGAATAAGGAAATAGAGCAAAGAAAGAAGAAATGAGAGGAAAAGTGAAGCAGAAATAAACAGGATAGCGAAAACCTGAAAGGTAATGGCCACTACCCAGTTTTCTGAAGCTACAGAGAGCATGTGACAAAACGAAAGCATAGAATTGCCATGTGCTGTGCATAAAATGGTGGTCAAATGTTAAGGGGGAAGAAAAAGGGGCTTCCATAATATATAACCATTTCAATGTTTTTTCTCTGTGTTGGTAGAGAGACTAATTTTCATGAAGCTCATTTCCTTGGTGAAAGAGGGATCTGCTAAGGTCTTTTTGCATGTGCTATTCATGTTCATGTGAGAGTAGACAATTTAGAATACTGGTTAGTGGATGTCAAGTCAGGTTTGCACCAAAGATTTGCAACTATATTCCTCTTGTATCTTACTAGTTATAGACTCCTACATGGTAAATGTATAAGGTTACCCAAGTCTTGTCCACATTTTCAAAAATATAAACAAATATTTGAGTTTTTGACTAAGGTATTCCTAAATGATTAGCCTAGTAATTTTTTTTTTTTTTTTTTTTTATCAAGAACACAACACAATGGAGTAAGCAGTTCATGCAATTAATAATGTTTTGTTAAGATAAGGAAAACAAATTTCCTGACTTTTTTGGTCTTTTTACTTTGTAACTAATTTTTTTTGTCTCTTTTTAGAACCTAAGCCTTTCATTGATATTAGCATTATTACCAGGTTTAATGAATTCAGCAAAGTCAAGCAGTTTAAGTAAGTAATTTATTTTTCAGGGTATAAAAAAATCTGATTTTATGAACATAGTGAAAAGTATACTTTATGGCGCAGCTACAAGCTATGGATGGAAGGAAAAGGATCACCCCACCGGCAAGCGAGAAGAGGGGAGCATGAGTGTGAGTGATTCCAGTGTCAGCCAATATGAGTGAAAGGACGAACGCTGCTCAACCGACCCCCAGGAGTCCAATGTTGAGGAATGGCTTCAGCTGCCGTACTGGCCACGCCTCTGATGCATTTCACCCTGCCCACCGGGGGCTTGGTCACAGAGGTGACCAAGCCCCCCCCCCCCGGTGGGTGGGGCAAAATGCATCAGAGGGCGCGGCCAGTACGGTGGCTGGGGGCATTCCTTAATAGTAGATTTCTCTAGTCAGTTGAGCAGCGTCCATCCTTTCACTGGATTTTATAAACAAACACTATAGATAAATTAGGAAAAATTAGGTGTGTTTGCATTCTCCCAGTTGTTTAAAAGCAGAATATTGCTGTAACAGCACCATGGCCACCATCGGTGGGGAGGGGGGGGACTCAATCGCACGTAGGGGGCCTGGGTGTGCAGAGGGGCCTGGGCCCCAACCAAGGCCATCTTTAACATGGGGCAAAAAGAGGTGAGCTCCAGCAGCTGGCCCCTTTCGCTCTCCCAGTTCTCTCTGTCCATGGAGAATATGGGACACGGTGCACAGCAGAGACTGCAGGCAGGGCTAGGAGTCTCTCTCTCATCCTCCACCCCCTCACCTCTCTCTCTCATCCTCCACCCCCTCACCTCTCTCTCTCATCCTCCACCCCCCTCACCTCTCTCTCTCATCCTCCACCCCCTCACCTCTCTCATCCTCCACCCCCTCACCTCTCTCTCTCTCATCCTCCACCCCCTCACCTCTCTCTCTCATCCTCCACCCCCTCACCTCTCTCTCTCATCCTCCCACCCCCTCACCTCTCTCTCTCATCCTCCACCCCCTCACCTCTCTCTCTCATCCTCCACCCCCTCACCTCTCTCTCTCATCCTCCCCCCCCTCACCTCTCTCTCTCATCCTCCACCCCCTCACCTCTCTCTCTCCTCCACCCTCCTCCTCTCATCCTCTCATCCCCTCTCTCTCTCATCCTCCATCCCCTCACCTCTCTCTCTCATCCTCCACCCCCTCACCTCTCTCTCTCATCCTCCACCCCCTCACCTCTCTCTCTCATCCTCCACCCCCTCACCTCTCTCTCTCATCCTCCCCCCCCCCTCTCTCCCCCCCCCCCCCAGCCCCATCACTCATCCCCCAAATTCCTTCTCTCCCCCCCTCTCATGGAGGACATGGGATTAGGGAAGAGGAGGAGTTAGGACTTGGCGTGGAGGGGAGGGGGCTGGAGGAGGACATGGAGTGGAGGTAATAGAACTGGCTGGAGGAGGGCATAGGATGGAGGAGATGGACTGGAGGAGGAGGACGTGGGATGAAGCAGGTGGGGCTGGAAGAGGAGGACATGGGATAAATGAAATGGGACTGGAGGAGGAAGAGGACATGGGATAGGGGAGATGGGGACTGGAGGAAGAGTAGAGGGGACTAGAGGAGGATGGAGGGATATACAGTCAGGTCCATAAATATTGGGACATCGACACAATTCTAACATTTCTGGCTCTATACACCACCACAATAGATTTGAAATGAAATGAACAAGATGTGCTTTAACTGCAGACTGTCAGCTTTAATTTGAGGGTACTTACATCCAAATCAGGTGAATGGCGTAGGGATTACAACAGTTTGCATATGTGCCTCCCACTTGTTAAGGGACCAAAAGTAATGGGACAGAATAATAATCATAAATCAAACTTTCACTTTTTAATACTTGGTTGCAAATCCTTTGCAGTCAATTACAGCCTGAAGTCTGGAACGCATAGACATCACCACACGCTGGGTTTCATCCCTGGTGATGCTCTGCCAGGTCTCTACTGCAACTGTCTTCAGTTCCTGCTTGTTCTTGGGGCATTTTCCCTTCAGTTTTGTCTTCAGCAAGTGAAATGCATGCTCAATCGGATGCAGGTCAGGTGATTGACTTGGTCATTGCATAGCATTCCACTTCTTTCCCTTAAAAAACTCTTTGGTTGCTTTTGCAGTATGCTTTGGGTCATTGTCCATCTGCACTGTGAAGCGGCGTCCAATGAGTTGTGAAGCATTTGGCTGAATATGAGCAGATAATATTCCCGAAACACTTCACAATTCATCCTGCTGCTTTTGTCAGCAGTCACATCATCATCAATAAATACAAGAGAACCAGTTCCATTGGCAGCCATACATGCCCACGCCATGACACTACCACCACCATGCTTCTCTGATGAGGTGGTATGCTTAGGATCATGAGCAGTTCCTTTCCTTCTCCATACTCTTCTCTTCCCATCACTCTGGTACAAGTTGATCTTGGTCTCATCTGTCCATAGGATGTTGTTCCAGAACTGTGAAGGCTTTTTTAGATGTCGTTTGGCAAACTCTAATCTGGCCTTCCTGTTTTTTGAGGCTCACCAATGGTTTACATCTTGTGGTGAACCCTCTGTATTCACTCTGGTGAAGTCTTCTCTTGATTGTTGACTTTGACACACATACACCTACCTCCTGGAGAGTGTTCTTGATCTGGCCAACTGTTGTGAAGGGTGTTTTCTTCACCAGGGAAAGAATTCTTCGGTCATCCACCACAGTTGTTTTCCATGGTCTTCCGGGTCTTTTGGTGTTGCTGAGCTCACTGGTGCGTTCCTTCTTTTTAAGAATGTTCCAAACAGTTGTTTTGGCCACGCCTAATGTTTTTTGCTATCTCTCTGATGGGTTTGTTTTGTTTTTTTCAGCCTAATGATGGCTTGCTTCACTGATAGTGACAGCTCTTTGGATCTCATCTTGAGAGTTGACAGCAACAGATTCCAAATGCAAATAGCACACTTGAAATGAACTCTGAACCTTGTATCTGCTCATTGTAATTGGGATAATGAGGGAATAACACACACACCTGGCCATGGAACAGCTGAGAAGCCAACTGTCCCATTACTTTTGGTAACAAGTGGGAGGCACATGTTGTAATTCCTACACCGTTCACCTGATTTGGATGTAAATGCCCTCAAATTAAAGCTGACAGTCTGCAGTTAAAGCACATCTTGTTTGTTTCATTTCAAATCCATTGTGGTGGTGTATAGAGCCAAAAATGTTAGAATTGTGTCGATGTCCCAATATTTATGGACCTGACTGTATTAAGTTGTAAGACTGTTAAAGTAAAAGTAGGTGCACTGAAGGACTCGGTGGGATGGTCAGTGGGCAGATTTGGTGGGACAACCAGTAGGCGGGCCCTGGGGAATGTTGGTGGTCAGGCCTGGGGGGGCCCAGGCCTAAAGCTGTGTAAGGGGACCCAAAATATCTGATGGCTGCCCTGAACAGCAGGCATATCGGGAGGCTGCAGAGATTACCCTGGAACTTTTAAAAATAGAATTACTTTATCTAGGAAAACTTTGCTTTGTCCTGCCCCCGTACCTTACTCTTGATCACTGGGGTATTATTTTATTATGGATATGTGATAGTTTACATTTTTGGGGTTGTTTTCGATATGTGCAAAGAAAGAACACACAAACACTTGTAGGTATAACATTTAATCAAATAATGACACATATAGTTAAAGAACAGAATATTAGAAAATATAACAAAAATACTTAGTTGTGCTCAAAATTTTCATACCCTAGCAGAAAGCATGAAATGTTGGCATTGCTATTGAAAATATGACTGAACATGCCATAACTGAAGCAATTTATTATCATATAATTGTTTGGCTCCTTTTTTTAATCATAATGTTAACAGAAATCACCCAAATAGCCTTGATCAAAACACTACATACCCTGGACTGTTTGGCCTTGGTACATACACACAAGTTGACACAAACAGGTTAAAATAGCAATTAAAGGTTAATTTCCCACATCTGTGACTTTTTAAATTGCTATTAGTATCTCTGTATAAATAGTCAATGAGATTGTTAGCTCTCACATGAATGCACTGAGCAGGCTAGAATTGAGAGCCATTGAGAGCAGAAAAAAACTGTTAAAAGACCTGCATAACAAGGTAATGGAACTTTGTAAAGATAGAAAAGGATATAATAAGATATATGGCAGCACAGTGGCTAAATGGTTAGCACTTCCGCCTGGCAGCACTAGGGTCATTGGTTCGAATGCCAGCCACGGCACCACCTGCCTGGAGTTTGCATGTTCTCCCTGTGCTTGTGTGGGTTTCCTCCGGGTACTCCGGTTTCCTTCCACACTCCAAAGACATGCTGGTAGGTTAATTGGCTTCTGTCTAAATTTTCCCTATTATGTGTATGTATGAATGTAAGTTAGGGACCTTAGATTTTACGCCCCTTGAGGGTTAGGGACTGATGTGAATGTACAATGTATATGTTGACAGCGCTATACAAGTACTTGAAATAAATAAATATCCAAAGCCATGAGTATGCTAGTCAGTACTGTTAAATTACTTATTAAGAAGTGGAAAATTAGGATCTCTTGATACCATGCCAAGTACAGGTAGAGCAAGAAAGATTACAATACAACAGTACTTGGAACAAAATTGAGTTGCATGGTCAAGTTGCCAGAAAAAATTACTCATGATGGCATGGCCAATGACCAGTTCAGACGCATGCCTAATGGCAGCTCTGTAATGAGACAGTTGCCAGGCCTAGCTCTGTTATATAGGACTTTTGTGTGAGGAATGGCCAACACCCATGGCACCAATGGCAAACAACAATATGACCTTTTAAGGACTTAGTCAGTTCTCAGTGACATTCCTTTGGTATGAGTCAGCTAAGGTAACCCAACTTTGTCCTAGTATGGCCTCCTAACCAAAGCTTGAAGGCATTCTTAAATATTGTGAGACAACTAGACAACTTAAAGGAAATATGTAATATGCAATATCACCATCAGGTGTCCATCACATTAAATATTCAAAGACAATGCATTCGACAATGAGTTAGAGGCTGCCAGCCAAGGCACAAACTTCATAGCTCAAGTCAATATTTGCATACTAGAGCACACCAGATGTTGGAGCTTCCAAGGAGTTCCAAAAGAACGCTTAAACTACTTGTAGGCATCTGAAGGTGTCTGCCACTAGATTCCAGATAAGGTTTAGTAACATTTATGTAAGGGGTAGGTTTGCTTTAAATATATTACACTGTCATATTCTGAATGTTTAGACTTCAAGAACTATCAGCATGTCAATACTGTTAAAAAGTAATTAAGAGTCAGATGCTTATAATGATACTACAACCTCAATGCATTTAGACTATTTTATATCCATGTACACATAGCATAATCAGAAGACAGCCCATGGAGGTAACAAAACACAGTATGGTATCCTAGTTACAGCAGACATACATAGTGTATTACTATCACGCATACCATTTGTTTAATGCTTCAGGCCCTGTAACTGCACCAGTTTTCACAGAGTGTCCTCTTCTAAACGTTTGTGATGCCAAAACAGTTATTGGTGCTCCCTGTCTCGCCTTGTTGAATAAATATATTTCTTAGATTTTTCAGTTTTTATAATGCTCTTTTTTTCTGTTTGTTCCTGTAAACTGTTTGAATGTCTGAGTGAAGCTGCAGTGAATGCTTTACTTGCAACATGTTTTCTCTAGTTTAGAAAAGCTCCCAGTGAAAATTTACATACAATTGTTTTTAATAACTATTATTAGTTGTCTATATCACCTTCTTCACTTCTCTGTAGGTACTTTATGGTTCTGATCCAGTGTATGGCTTTAAAGCTTGACCAGGGTTTCCTTGCTGCGATCATAGGGATTTTCACTCCAGCCACTCCTCCTGAGGTGGAGAAGCAACGTGTAAGTTATGTGTCTTTGTGTGTGTGTGTAAGGGGGGGGGGGGGGGGGGGGGGGGAGGAGGGGGTTTGCAAGCATAAGTCCAGTAGTAGATCAGTGGTCTCCAGACTGTGGCCTTTTGCTTGCCTTTATCCAGCGCTTGGGGCACTATTCCTTCCACTGACACCAATGATGGGACATTATTCCTCTCGCTGACACCAATGATGGGACATTATTCCTCTCGCTGACACCAATGATGGGACATTATTCCTCTCGCTGACACCAATGATGGGACATTATTCCTCTCGCTGACACCAATGATGGGACATTATTCCTCTCGCTGACACCAATGATGGGACATTATTCCTCTCGCTGACACCGATGATGGGACATTATTCCTCTCACTGACACCGATGATGGGACATTATTCCTCTCACTGACACCAATGATGGGACATTATTCTTCTCACTGACACCAATGATGGGGCTTTATTCCTCTTACGGACACTATTGATGGGGCATTATTCCTTTCACTGACACCAATGATGGGGCACTATTCCTCTTATTTACACCAGCTATGGTGCACTATTCCTCTCAGTGACACTAATGGTGGGGCATTGTTACCAATGCCAGGACATCTTCTCCCAATGTCCACAGTCCAGCCTTTCTAAAGTCTGAGGGATAGTAAGCTAGCGCTTTGTTTAAATGTTTGGAGACCCCTGGTTTAGATAGATATTTTATTTTGAACCTTGTAGTAATTGGGAGCCAGTGCCAAGATAAAATAAGAGCAAGATCATTAGCAAAGCATTGCATTTGGCCATAAAGGATAAAGGTGTCTGGACCGTTTTTTTGTTACAGCTGTCAGGAACCTTGGTTTACATGTTTGTTTATTCCAGGAGAGTAACAATGATAAAGATGACATCCCTAGAGCTTTCACCTTCAAAATTAAGTCAGCATTGAAAACGTTCATATTCTGCTCTGGCAGAATCTCTTTAAAATGTACAATATGTCTATGCAAAATAAAAAATAAATACTGTGTGCAGTACAACTATGCAATACATGTACCCTTTCCCTTGTTGTATCCCTTTAAAGACCTTGTAAGTACGGGAAAAGACCAGCTGATCTGTCAGAAATGCGCTTTGCTTCTGACTTCCTGCTGTGGACAGAAAACACATGCCTTAATATGAACTGAAATCTCAATGAATGGTTTCATCCCTGCTCAGTTTTCTTCTATTAACTGCTGAATCATTCCCCCTCTCCTCCACAGATAAGGGAATAATTGTTTTGAAGTCCAAGATAAAATCTGAGAGGGCTTGAAATGACAATGGACACAAGACAGCTTTGAATTTCTGATCAATGGTTATCTTTCTGTACTTGTTGAACAGATACTGTATAACCAAAATGAATTAAATGGTACATTTAACGGCTCAGAAGGGAGCAAAAAGGGGAAGTTTATTGTTAGAGTTGACATACATTTTTTTAACATTCTTTACTTTCTAAAATATGCAATACAAAAATATACAGTTCATTGTCTTATAAGAAATCTGCATCTGCACGTTTTTTTTTTTTTTTAGTATTCTTTTACTTAAGCTGTTAAGAATACTGAGCTTTATAATAATTGAGTGGTGGTGGTTAACAGGAGAAGAAGATATTCTGTTTTTCTTAATGAAACAGATTAGCAACAGATCACACTACATCAGGTTCTGGATCACCAAAACTGGAAAACTGAAGAACAGAAACATTTCTGTTGTAATATACAAATTATGTTGTCAGAATTTACCATACTCGGCTTAAATCATTATAATTATCATTATCTGTCTCCAAACTAATAATTGCAGGTTCCTGAAAAATATTGCACAAAAACGTAAGACCTTAACATAAAAAAGCCGAGTACATCCATTTGAGACAAAGTTGTATACTGTTTGCTTTTTATGCAAATGGCAAAGTTGTCACGTGAAGAGAAAGTGAAGGGCAAATCTCCCAAGCATGGATACAGTCACAATACAAGCGCTTGATTAGTAGTGCAAATGATGGAACCGATGTTGGCTACTAATTATCCATTTCCTCAGTGGAAACTTTGCCTTACTTTCCGCCATTTTCCCCCACTTCCTAACATAGACAGCCAAAAAAGAAAAAAAAAACAAACTTGTAACTTTTACCCCATCTATCCATAATTAAAGCATAGGTTTTTCGTCAGAGATATACTTACTTTATGTATTCCTTACCCTTTCCTCTTGAATTGTACATTGGTAAACGTGCATTGTTTTCTTGTTTTGGTACAGACCAAGTTAATTCAGAAAGATTTAGATTCCCTGAACAGAGAGCTGATGGAATCTTCTCTGACAGACATCACCACCCTGAGCTTCTTTGAACACTTTCATATTTCTCCTGTGAAGGTACCAAAATAATGTATCCCGTGGTGAAATAAAATTTGCTGGCTTTTAAACATGTTTTAAGATGCACATGATCAAAAAAATATTATATAATCTAATATACAGTTCTTGTGTTTATTTTGCTTAGTCCGTAAAAATTATTTTTTTTTGATTATTCACATGGTGTTATGTAACAGTTCATGATACATAACTGGAAAAAATTCTTATAATAATGTAACAAAATTTAATACATGGTACTTGTACATATTTGAAATATCAAAAAAGGGGACCAATCAAGGCTTTAATTTTTATAGGTGGGCACAGCTGCTCACCTTAACAAACCAATAAGGGTGTTTCTTCAGTTATATTATTAAACACAACTAACAAAGGAGATCAGACTGAACTATAGACGCTATGCCAGTTGCTCCAGTTATTAGTTAACTCATCTTAAATGTAAACATTTATACATACAGTGGGGAAAATAATTATTTGATCTCCTGCATATTTTGTAAGTTTGCCCACTTACAAAAAATTAAGGGTCTATAATGTTTATCATAGGTGTATTTTAAATGATACACTGAATATCAACCAAAAATCCAGAAAAAACATATGATAAAAATGTTATAAATTGATTTGCAGGTCAGTGAGTAAAATAAGTATTTGATCCCCGGCCAACCAACAATAATTCTGGCTCCCACAGATTGGCTATGTGCTCATGTGGTACACAGATTAGTCCTGCTAATTTAAGAAGATGCTACTAACGACAGCTCGTTATGTGTATAAAAGACACTTGTCCACAGAATTTATTTCCTCCATTCAAACCTCACCTTGCCATGGGCAAGACCAAAGAGCTGTCAAAGGATGTCAGGGGGACAAGATTGTAGACCTGCACAAGGCTGGAATGGGCAACAAGACCATCAGCAAGAAGCTTGGTGTGAAGGAGACAATTGTTGGTTAATTATTTGCAAATGGAAGAAATACAAAATATCAATCAATCTCCTTCGGTCTGGAGCTGCATGCAAGATTTCGCCTCATGGGGTAAGGATGATCATGAGAAAAGTAAGGGATCAGCCCAGAACTACACGGGAGGAGCTTGTGAATGATCTCAAGGCAGTTGGGACCACAGTCACCAAACAAACCACTGGTAACACAAGACCACCATGGATTGAAATCCTGCAGCTCCCTCAGGGTCCCCCTCCTCAAGAAGGCACATGTACAGCCCGTCTGAAGTTTGCCAATGAACATCTAAATGATTCAGAGTAAGATTGGGAGAAAGTGTTGTGGTCAGATGAGACCAAAATTTTGCTTTTTGGCATTACCTCGACTTGACCCTAAGAACACCATCCCTACAGTCAAGCATGGTGATAGAAACATTATGCTTTGGCTCTATTTCTTTGCTTAACCTCTTCACGCCAGCTGAATGCAAATGTGCAGCCTCCCAGTGTCTGGGCCTAGACGCCGAGCGGCCGCACATTTGCGTACTATTAAAAGAACATATGTGCTGAGAGCGCTCGCCCTGCGCGCTCCCAGCACACATGTCCAGTACTCACGGAAAGGTCCCGATCTCTTCTTTCGATCGGGATCTTTCCTGATCATGTCACCGGCGTGTCACGGCGATCACATGACCCTAAACCCCGTCCCGCCTCCCGGCTTCTGAAACCCTTAAAGGGCCGGGAAGCGCCAGCATGAAGGGGTTAAGGTACAGACCAACTTTGCCGCACTGAGGGACCAATGGACAGGGCCATGTATTGTAAAATTTTGAATGAAAACATTGACGATGGGTCGTGGATGGGTTTTCCAGCATGGCAGTGACCCAAAACATACCACTAAGGCAAAAAAGGAGTGGCTCAAAAAGAAGCACATTATGGAGTGGCCTAGCAAGTCTCCAGACCTTATTCCTAAATAAAATTTTGTGGGGGGGAGCTGAAATTTTTAGTTACCAAGTGACAGCCAAGAAACCCTAAGGATTTGGAGAAGATCTGTAAAGAAGGGTGGACCAAAATCCCTCCTGAGATGTGTGAAAACCTGGTAATCAACTACAAGAAACGTCTTACCTCTGTGCTTGCCAACAAGGGTTTTTCCACCAAGTACAAAGTCATGTTTTGCTTGTGGATCAAATACGTATTTTACTCACTGAACTGCAACTCAATTTATAACATTTGTATCGTGTTTTTTTTTTTTTTTTTTTTTTGGATTTTTGGTTGGTATTCTGTCTCTATCATTTAAAATACACCTATGATAAAAAATTAAAGACCCTTTATTTCTTTGTAAGTGGGCAAATGTCCAAAGTCTGCAGGGGATCAAATCATCATTTTCCCCACTGTACACAGGTTTTTTTTTTTTTTTTTTTTTTGTCCTACCATGTGCTTGGTAAACTACTTAGAGCTAACACAAAAATTACATGCATCTGTCACATGACGTTGGAGTTATTCTTTGCTTTTCATCTCTAGTTACACCTCAGTCTCTCGTTGGGAGCAGGAGGAGAAGAATCAAACAAGGAGGAACGTGAAATTGTTGCCATCAGCTCTATCAATCTCCTCCTCAAAAGCATTGGAGCCACTCTCACAGATGTCGATGATCTCGTTTTCAAGTAAGCTTACTTTTGATGCTCCAAATGATATATCCTCCTTATATCACTTGATATCACTTCCTTCATCATATATAGGTTATTCATTAGAACCTAAAGAACTCATGACAGGGTTGTTTTATATTCTTGTTTACAGGTTGGATTGTTTTGAAGTGAAGTACCAGTTCTACAAGCAGGAACAACTGAGGCATCTTGTTGTCAGGCATTACAGCGAGCAGGTAATCTGTGAAGTTTGCTGTCTTTTAATATTTCTCCAAAATGATTTGCTCCACTGGCTCTACTATAAATTTAAAACTGTGTATATTTACAGAGACTGTCTCTAAGGAAGTATTTTCCCAGTGGTGATGGCCTTACAAAACAATCTCTCTTGAAATCTGGTTGTTCTATTTATTTATATGGAATCTGTTAAATAAACCCAGTATATTTAAATTTAGCACAGCAAGTGTAACATTTATTTATCTAGTTGAACATGAGGCTTCAAATGCAAGTCTATTCACCTGTGAAGTGTATATGTTCTAATGTCTCTGGGTATTGCATTCTGATCCTTTGTAGTTCTTGAAGCAACTGTATGTCCTTGTCCTGGGCTTGGATGTGTTAGGAAACCCTTTTGGCTTGATAAGAGGGCTCTCAGAAGGTGTGGAGGCTTTTTTTTATGAGCCCTTTCAGGTACGTTTAATAAGCCTACTATGTATACTATCCACATGCTGGAAACATTTAATATGTTGTGTTTTTTAGGCTCATATGTTTTTTCTGGTAACAGAAGTACAATACATGCATGTTTCTGCTTACAAATGCTTTGCATGTCATGTTCCAGCACTATATTAAGCCCTCTATTGCATTATAGTCAATATGTTTAGCCTGATCTACCACATTTACTGCTCTATTCTTGCCATTGATTATAGGGAGCAGTACAGGGCCCAGAAGAGTTTGCAGAAGGCTTTGCCATTGGTGTGAGAAGTCTGCTTGGACACACTGTTGGTAAGTTCCATTTTATTTCTTGTGTAAATGTGTGGACAAATATTTTATGTAATAAGAATTCACTGCTGTCCGAGAAGGGGTTGTATTTTTGTAGCTGGAAGAAAGACCTAGTTGTCTTGAGACTGTTTTTTTTTTTTTAGAGTAGGCAAAAACTAAAACACTGGTCAGGTATTTATTCTGTTGTGGCTCCACTGGCTAAAGTCCTACGTAAACGTGTAACTGAAAATAATGTACAGTAATTTAGCAAACTCTGACGTATGTATTTGCTAAATTTTGCAAAGTACCTTTTTCTCTAAAAACAGTGATTCTCAAAGGGGTCAAATCAATACAGGTTGTTTATTTAAGGGATTTAATTTTTTAACGTAACCGCTTGCCCACTGCAGTTTTACTGCTATAGTGTGGGCCGGCTGTGCAGAATCACATATATATATATATATATATATATATATATATATATATATATATATATGTGATTGTTTATTTCTTGGTAGGGGGAGCACATGCCCACCCACCCGGCTGTACTCTCACTGTCTCCCTTTTAAGCCATTCAGTGGATCCTGGCCAGTGATTCATGATTTTCATATAAACCAAATAATATACACTTATTGGGTTTTTTTTTTACCGAAGTCATGTAGTCGAATACATTTTGTCATAAATTTACAGTGAGGAACAGCAGTATTTGAACACCCTGCGATTTTGCAAGTTCTCCCACTTAGAAATCATGGAGGGGTATGAAATTCACATTGTAGGTGCATTCTCACTCTGAGAGACAGAATTTAAAAAAAAATTCAGGAAATCACATTGTATGATTTTTAAAGAATTTGTCTTGCACTGCTGAACATAAGTATTTGAACACCTGAGAAAATCAGTGTTAATATTTGGTACAGAAGCCTTTGTTTGCAATTACAGAGGTCAAACGTTCTTGACCAGGTTTGCACACACTGCAACAGGGATTTTGGCCCACTCCTCCACACAGATCTCCTCTAGATCTGTCAGGTTTTGGGGCTGTCGCTGAGCAACATGGAGTTTCAGCTCCCTCCAAAGATGTTCTATTGGATTTAGGTCTGGAGACTGGCTAGGCCACTCCAGAACCTTGATAGTTTCTTACGGAGCCACTCCTTGGTTATCCTGGCTGTGTGCTTCGGGTCGTTGTCATGTTGGAAGACCCAGCCACAACCCATCTTCAATGCTCTGACTGAGGGAAGGAGGTTGTTGCTCAAAATCTCACAATAAATGGCCCCATTCATCTCCTTCTTAATACAGTGCAGTCATCCTGTCCCCAGCGCAGAAAAGCACCCCCAAAGCATGATGTTACCCACCCCCATGCTTCACAGTAGGGATGGTGTTCTTGGGATGCAACTCATTCTTCTTTTCCTCCAAACACGACAAGTGAAGTTTAGACCAAAAAGTTCTACTTTGGTTTCATCTGACCACATGACTCTCTCCCATGCCTCCTCTGGATCATCCAGATGGTCATTGGCAAACTTCAGACGGGCCTGGACATGTGATGACTTGAGCAGGGGAACCTTCCGTGCAATACATGATTTGTAACCATGACGGCGTAGTGTTTTACCGACAGTGACCTTTGAAACTGTGGTCCCAACTCTCTGCATGTCATTGACCAGCTCCTCCCTTGTAGTTCTGGGCTGATTCCACACCTTTCTTATCAGTGATACCCCACGAGGTGAGATCTTGCATGGAGCCCCAGTCCAAGGGAGAGCGACAGTCGTCTTTAGCCTCTTCCATTTTCTAACAATTGCTCCAACAGTTGATCTATTTTCACCAAGCTGCTTGGCAATTGACCCGTAGCCCTTTCCAGCCTTGTGGAGGTCCACAATTTTGTCTCTGGTGTCTTTTCGTCTTGCCCATGGTAGTAGTTGGCGTCTGACATACTGTAGGGTGGACAGGTGTCTTTAAGAGCTCAGACAGATGCTACTAAGTTAGATTGAGTGGAGTAAAGATGGACTTTTTAAAGGCACAGTAACAGGTCTTTTGAGAGCCAGAATTCTTGCTGTTTCTTAGGTGTTCAAATACTTATGCTCAGCAGTGCAAGACAAATAAATTCTTTAAAAATCATACAATGTGATTTCCTGAATTTTTTTTTTAATTCTGTCTCTCAGAGTGGGAATGCACCTACAATGTGAATTTCAGACCCCTCCATGATTTCTAAGTGGGAGACCTTGCAAAATCGCAGGGTGTTCAAATACGTCTGTTCCTCACTGTATGAAGAAATGTTATTATATTTTATTGGATATGTTTAATAGCAAAAAGTAAAAAAATATTGTTTTGGTTCTTTTCAAAATTTTCGGTCTTTTTTTTTCGTTTATATAGGAAAAAATAAAAATCCCAGTGGTGATCAAATACCACCAAAAGAAATCTCCATTTGTGTGAAAAAAATGTTTTAAAGTTCATTTGTGCACAGTGTTTCATGACCGTGCAATTGTAAGTTAAAGTGGTGCAGTGCCATATAGCAAAAAATGGCCTGGTCATGACGGGGGTAAAATCTTCCGGAGGTCAAGTGGAAATTAAAATGCTGCCAACTGTGATTTTCAAAAACCACAGGCGGTTAAAGTATGGTTTACTTGAAACCCTGATAGCAGTGAAGGGGGTCCTGTACCTGTTTGCAAGCAGAACAACCCAAGAATGTCATTTGAAGCTTATGTTATCAGTTTGCGGCCTTTCTCCAGGTTTTACACTTATTATAACTGTAATTGATGTTGCTATGACCACAGCACTTTTGTTTTTATTTTGTTTCTTTTTGTTGCCTTTTTTTCCAACAAAATTTAATTATACTTATATGATTTATTATTCCCATGTCGGTATATTTGCATGTGAATCAGTGTAAAATGTGATATATAACACTAATTATTCTAAATATAAAGTATCCAAATATCAAATAACAAACGAATGGTAAAAGCATTACCTTCTATGCTGCCCATAGTCTAATGGCACTGGAAAAGTTGTGCTTTTTCAGTTTCGTTTGTGCTTGAACACCTGCTGGGTACACACAGGGAGTATAGATTCTGCCTCCATCACTCCTCAGCCTCCAACTTGAGTCAAAGGGGCAAGGAATATTTTTAAAATAACACAAACATTCTTGCAGTAGAAAATATATAATATTTATTCTTCTGTGCATGGCAAACCCTGTTCCCCTCACTGTGAGCTGTGATTTCATCAGATGGCTTCTACATTTCTACTGTGTCCTGTAGCTACATATGGGGCTGGTGCATGAAACCCCAGCAGAGTACCAGGCATCACACCCAAAAATGTGTTAGATGCTTTGATTCTTTGGCTATTGTAGCTCTTGGAGGAAGTTAGGACCCGCCACGCACCAGAGAGGTTAGTATAACACCTCATCTATTGCAGAGAGCTTGGAATTTTATATTATACCGCTCAGGGACATCTGAGTATGTGATTTCCCAGCTGCTCTGCTTGCATCACTATATATGATACCATAGTAATCGAATACCCAGTATGATAAATTATGAAACACTTGGTTATTCAGCATACTAGTTATTATACCTAATATATGGATTATATGGATGTTTAGACTGCAGCTTTGCACATCATGTCCTTCAGGCAGCTGTTTCAGCTGCTGACGTTCCCTAGTAGTTTGTTTGTATTTGGGCCTGTGCTTTGTTTGCGCTATTGCCTAATTCTCAGTTTGACTCCTTTTGGAATTCTAAGTTGTCTCAGAATTCTCTCACTAAATGAACAAAGAATCCTGAATTTCTGTACTCCCCCCAAAAAATCACACAATCCCCACTCTTTTTTGTTGTCTTGCTTGTTTGTCACAGACATCCTGGGAGTGGGAGGGGTTATACCAAGGTGATCACTATCTTTTTGTTTGCGTGTCTTCAAATCTTCCTGTAGTTGGCAGTATAGCCCAGTTTTTCATTGTTGTTTTTTAATTAGTAAAAAAACCTCCAGTCCTTTCCCAGAAGCAGTTGAGTTCTTTATTTTTTTTTTTTTTTTAACACTTTCTTTTTTAGTTTAGGACACGCTTTCACAAATACATTTTTTTTCTTACTCATTTACTAACAAAGGAGTGTAAAAATAATGTTGGGTTATGTAACCAAATGTGAAATAGTACTACTTATGATGGAGTGGAGTTGGGTATGGTTTGAGAATTCCATAATTCGTTTAGTTAATCAATTGTATTAGATTGTCCTACTTGATGGCATCTCATCTTCTCTACACACAGGGGGTGCAGCTGGAGTGGTGTCACGAATTACAGGATCTGTGGGAAAGGGTTTGGCAGCCATCACCATGGATAAAGAATATCAACAGAAACGGAGGGAAGAGATGGGTAGACAACCTAAAGACTTTGGAGAAAGTCTGGCCAAGGGAGGTAAAGGATTATTGCGGGTAAGTCTGTTTTGCTAGATTACTTGGATGTTCAAAGACTCTTGTCTTTACATTGAATAGAAAAAAATTATTTTTGTTGTTTTGCTTTTACGCACTCATGCCAGTTTATTTAATCTGTGAACTATTATGAGGGGTATTTAAGGGAAAACAGGGCATGTAGCACCTAAAGTGTATGTAAAGTGTTGTCAGTCTCTGGTGTGCAGTCCGGTTTTTCTATTGGTTGTTTATCAAGGCTTTGCATGCCTCCTTCAGACCTAATAGACAGCCTTGCAATCAACTGAATGTTTGTGCATGACAGACCTAAAACAATGCTGCCAATTGAAAGGCTTGTCAGCTTGTAACAGGAAATGTCACTGGTAGGATCTCCAGGTAAGAAACTTTGCAACAGATTGGCAAAAAAAAGAGATTTGCTTAAGAACACTGTATAGTGAGATATATATACATACACACTATATTGCCAAAAGTATTGGGACAGCCCTCTAAATCATTGCATTCAGGTGTTAAAATCACCTCCATGGCCACAGGTGTATAAAATTAAGCACCTAGGCATGCAGACTGTTTGTACAAACATTTGTGAAAGAATGGGTCGCTCTCAGGAGCTTAGTGAATTCAAGCGTGGTACCGTGATAGGCTGCCATCTGTGCAATAAGTCCATCCGTTAAATTTCTTTGCTATTAAATATTCCACTGTCAACTGTTAATGGTATTATAACAAAGTGGAAGCAACTGGGAACAACAGCAACTCAGCCACAAAGTGGTAGGCCATGTAAAATGACAGAGCGGGGTCAGTGCATGCTGAAGCACACAGTATGCAGAAGTCGCCAACTGTCTGCAGAGTCAATAGCTAAAGATCTCCAAACTTCGTGTGGCCTTCAGATTAGCACAACAACAGTGCATAGAGAGCTTCATGGAATGGGTTTCCATGGCCGAGCAGCTGCATCCAAGCCTTACATCACCAAGTGCAATGCAAAGCGTAGGATGCTGTGGTGTAAAGCACGCCGCCACTGGACTCTAGAGCAGTGGAGATGTGTTCTCTGAAGTGACAAATCATGCTTCTCTGTCTGGCAATCCGATGGATGTGTCTGGGTTTGGTGGTTGCCGGATAGAACGGTACTTGCCTGACTGCATTGTGACAAGTTTGGTGGAGGGGGGATTATGGTGTGAGGTTGTTTTTCAGGGGTTGGGTTAGGACCCTTAGTTTCCAGTGAAGGGAACTCTTAAGACGTCAGCGTACCAAGACATTTTGGACCATTTCATGCTCCCAACTTTGTGAGAACAGTTTGGAGATGGCCCCTTCCTGTTTCAACATGACTGCGCACCAGTGCACAAAGCAAGGTCCATAAAGACATGGATGAGAGGGTTTGGGGTGGAGGAACTTGACTGGCCTGCACAGAGTCCTGACCTCAACCCAATATAACACCTTTGGGATGAATTAGAGTGGAGACTGCAAGCCAGGCCTTCTTGTAAGACATCAGTGCCTGACCTCACAAATGCGCTTCTGGAAGAATGGTCAAACCTTCCCATAGACACACTCCTAAACCTTGTGGACAGCCTTCCCAGAAGAGTTGAGTTGAAGCCGTTATAGCTGCAAAGGGTGGGCCAACTCAATATTGAACCCTACGGACTAAGACTGGGATGCCATTAAAGTTCATGTGCGTCCCAATACTTTTGGCACTATAGTGTATATAGTGATCCCAAACAAAATAAAAATAGCTTTTAGTTTTATGTAAACATTCATGTAACAGGTCTACTTGCTAAAATCAGAATCTATCAGTAAAATTAACTCTTAAATTTTGTGCTTTGCTTATTGCACTGTTTATTGATTACACCTGTTAATGCACAGTAATTACTTTTTACATGTATAGGGTCAGCAGTCCTGATATTCAGATTTTCTCATTGCAAATGTACTGACTTTCCTATCTAATAATCTGACGAAGGAGCATCTAGAATGTGAGCTACTGCCATTGTGCTGTTTAGGTTTGTTAACAGGAAATCTTCACTTTTTCAGGAACTAGCATAAGAATACATTTTATAAATAATATTAAATAGTATTAACAATCGTTTTGCACATTATAAATTATATCCATTAAGGGATTATAGGCTGGTATTTAAGTAAAAGCTTGCTGAGTCATAAAACCCAGTACTGCTGGTTGAACACAATGATCCAAGCCTCTTTTCAGTCAGGGAAAGGTGTTATTTCAATATGTAGGTTGCATTATTGCTCATATATCATATTTCAGCCTCATGACTGGAACTGGGGAACTTATATGCCCTATATCACATGATCTATTGCTAGTGCTACGTTGTTTATCCCGTGTAATCCAGCAGTTCCTTTTTAAAAGAGCCCTATAATAATGACATGAAATTAATCTATTCTATTTTATTAATAATCTGCTCTACTGAGAAAAACTACTCACATTTTCTCTCATGTTATTCCCCTTTGCACCTGCGTGATGTTCAGATTGTCAAGCAGGAAACTCTTACAGATCTACAGTTGCAAGAAAAAGTATGCATGAATTGGGCATAAAATGTGCTCTGAACGTCATCTAAATCACAACAATAGAAGAACACAGTCTGCTGAACATAATACTACACAAACATTAGATGTTGCCATGGTTTAATTGCACATAACATGTAAACATTCACAGTGCAGGGAGGAAAAACTATGTGAGGCCCTAGCTTAATGACTTCTCCCAGAGCTAATTGGAGCCAGGAGTGAGCCAACCTTGACTCCAATCAGTGTGATATTGGATGTGTTGCTGACAGCTGTCCTGCCCTAAAAAAACACACACCTATTTTGGGTTTACTGGTTTCAAGAAGCACTGTCTGATGTGAACAATGCCTCGCAGAAAAGAGCTCTCAGAAGACCTACGATCAAGAATTGTTGACTTGCATGAAGCTGGAAATGGTTACAAAAGTATCTCCAAAAGCCTTGATGTTCATGTGTCCACGGTAAGACAACTGTCTACAAATGGAGAAAGTTTAGCACTGTTGCTACTCTCCCTAGGCGTGATCGTCCTGTAAAAATGACTGCAAGAGCACAGCGCAGAATGCTGCATGAGGTAAAGAAGAATCCCAGAGTGTCAGCTAAAGACCTACAGAAATCTCTGGCACATGCTAACATTTTTGTTGACACATCTACAATAAGGAAAACATTAAAAAAGAATGGAGTACATGGGAGGACACCATGGAGGAAGCCATTGCTGTCCAAAAAGAAGATTGCAGCACGTTTGAAGTTTGCAAAAGAGCACCTGGATGTTCCACAGCACTACTGGCAAAATATACTGTGGACAGATGAAACCAAGATTGAGTTGTTTGGGAAGAACACACAACACTATGTGTGGAGAAAAAAAGGCACAGCACACCAACATCAAAACCTCGTCCCCACTGTAAAACATGGCGGAGGGAGCATCATGGTTTGGGGCTGCTTTGCTGCCTCAGGGCCTGGACGGATTGTTGTCATTGATGGGAAAATGAATTCCAGAGTTTATCAAGACATTTTGCAGGAAAACATACAACCATCTGTCCGCCAACTGAAGCTCCGTAGAGGATGGGTGATGCAACAGGACAATGACCCAAAGCATACAAGTAATTCAACAAAACAATGGCTGCAACAGCACAGAGTACGCCTTCTGGAGTGGCCCAGTCAGAGTCCTGACCTCAACCCGATTGAAATGCTGTGGCATGACCTTAAGAGAGCGATTCATACCAGACATCCCAAGAATATTGCTACTCTGAAACAGTTTTGTGAAGAGGAGTGGTCCAAAATTACTCCAGATCGTTGTGCAGGTCTGATCTGCAACTACAGGAAACGTTTGGTTGAGGTTATTGCTGCCAAAGGAGGGTCAACCAGTTAAGTCCAAAGGTTCAGATACTTTTTCCCCCCTGCACTGTGAATGTTTACATGTCATGTGCAATTAAACCATGGCAACATCTAATGTTTGTGTAGTATTATGTTCAGCAGACTGTGTTCTTCTATTATTGTGACTTAGACGTTGACGTTCAGAGCACATTTTATGCCCAATTCATGCAAAACTCCACGTAATCCCAAGGGGTTCACATACTTTTTCTTGCAACTTTAAATGACCTGATATTGCTATATTTTATTACACTCCAAATTTACCCTACTTCATTTATGCTCATCTGTCAGGTTTTGGCCCTTTGTGTAGCTGAAAAAACTTTCATTACACACACTCTGATCCCATTAACACCTTAAAAGCATACTGCTGGTTGGCTTCGTATTTGTATTTTATGAAATTATACAAAGCAGTACTGCATTGTTAATTTCTTTGTAAAGCTGGGGAAGCATTGGTATTGTAACTTTGATTTGGGGTTTTATAATGGATGTCATGGGCATTAATCCACATAGTCTATGTTTTGTATTAGCTGAACATTTTCTGTGTTCATACTGTATATTCATTTTGTGTAGGATGTTTACCTCTACAATGTAATCTTTTTTGAGGAAATTAGTTTGACATAATTTTAATTGCCATTGGATCAGAATCAAGAATCAAACCATGCAAAAAGAATCAAGGGGCAAATAATAATTCAGAAATGTTTTGTAGCCATCATAAAAAAGAAAGCGTCTCTGCGTAGACAAATACGCCCAAGTCTTTGCTGTTGTATATTGCTCAAAACCATTGTACTGTATTTTGCTAATTATTTCTGAAAATGCAATCACAATAATCCAAAGTACTTAAAGCGGAGTTTCAGCTGAAAAAATAAATAAATAAAATAAGTCGGCAGCTACAAAAACCGTAGCTGCTGACTTTTAAAATACAGACACTTACCTGTCCCTCAGTCCACTGGTGTCCTCACCACCGCTGGTTTCACCAGCCATCTTCTTTCCCTGGTGCCGGCATCTTTAGTGTGGGCACCCAGCTGTGACAGCTTGCGGCTTCAGAGCCTTGTGCTAGCTGCGCCTGCGCAAGAAGCGCTGCACTTTGTGAATGGCCCCGTAGTCTTCTGGGACCTGTCACGTGTCCCAGAAGCCTACGGGGAGGGAGGACAACTTCTGCTTCAGATCCCCTAGGCCACGGGTAGGCAACCTGCGGCTCTCCAGTTGTTGCAGGACTGCTAGTTCCATCATGCCTCTGCAAGTCATAGCTGTAACTGTCAGTTTTGTAATGTTGCAATGCCTCATGGGAAATGTAGTTCCACAACAACTAGAGAGCCGCAGGTTGCCTACCCCTGGTCTAGGCGATCGCAGCGGGAGTGGGAGCGGGTACCTGTCAAATTCGTGTGCCCGCCAACCCCCCCCCCCCCTCCCCCACTCCTTAAAGGTGCCATTCCTTAATGGGGAGCGGGGGACAAAGCATTAAAGCGCAACTTCCCCTTTTGTCTGGAGCTCCGCTTTAAAGTAGTTGTCAACCCTTACCTATACCCAATGAAGTGACTGGCCTCAGGAGATACACAGATATGAAGCAAATCCTCCTACATAAGTTGTGCCTGCTTATTTGCAGGCATTTGTCCTGTACATCCTTGTAAAACTCAGAGAGAAAAGCGATTTTTCACAGCAGTGCAGTTACAGACTGTACAAGAGCTTTGGGAGCTTATTGGAGGGAAGGAACACAGCCCCTTCATACAGCACACAGAAACAGAGCTGAGGCTTTAAATCTCAGACTGTGTGCTTGAGATCCCTCTCTTGTCACTTTTTAAGCTTTTGTTGTCAGGAAAACCTGTCAAAAGTGATTCATGCTGATAACAGAAGAAAGAAATCACACTTAATGCTTTGAAGAGAGGCAAGTAACAACTATTGAGGTATTTGACGTTTACAACACTTTAAAGAGTAACTCCACTTGTGTTGAGAATAAGTATTCCCCTGTGGGTGATCAATGTACATTGCAAGGATTTTAACACTTTGTTGCAGATTCCTACTGTTTGTTGTTCTGAAGGTAATAGTTGTTTGTTTGTCTGTGTCCATGTGAACGGTGAATCTGTATGGGAGTGGTTTTATAATTCTCAATCAGCTGTTGCACCTGCAGGGCTCTGATGAGGAAAATCGCAGGCTCTGCGTCCCTTAAGATGTGATTTCCCTTTTGGAGTATCTCACCAAAAATGCCATTTTTTTGTTAAAAATCTGATTTATATCTTAGTGCAGACTTCTGGGAAAATCAGTAAGCCAATTACACAAGCAGCAAATAACATATCTAGGGCTGTGGGGGTTCTGAATACCATCTATGTACAGAACACCTCCAGGTAGCCATATTGCATTGTACAGAAAATTACAGCTTTGCAGATTGAAAAGGAAAGGTAATTTTTAATATCATTCAAATTCTATATGACTTGTGTCGCAATTGTATTCTATTTTTTTTTTCATTTGCTGTTTTTTTGCCCCCACAAAAGGGCAGGTAACCCTTTAAGTGAAACTGTCATTACAAGCTTCATCATAAACTAGCATTTGTTTTAGCAATAGCAGGTTCACATGAAACCTCAGAAGTGATTAGAAATGTATTTTCGCCTTGTGTTTAGTAACTTTTTTTTTTTTTTAAGGTCCAGCATTGAGCAGCACTGTAAAGCAAAATGTATAGCATCAACACACAGTACAAAACAGAAATTATTCTAGTTGTTCTTTTTTTCTCAGATCAGGTGGAGCCCTAGAATCACCAAATAGCAGTGTGCTCTGATCTTCAAATATTGAACAACTGTGATTTCTTACTCAGGCCTTATAGTAGGGGAGAAGTGGGAACATTTATCTGTTGGGGGGGAGGGGTATATGGTAGGAAGGGTATGGTGAAAGGTTGGTATTCGTAAAGGACGTGGTTTGTTGTCACATACCCTCGCATCTTCCATTATCAGTCTCCTCAGTTGCAGTTTATTCACATGAAATCCTAAGAGCGGTTCGGTTATCCAGGGACCACTGGGTTCATTTTTAAGAATTAAATGATGGTATGTAGGCAGCTGGAGGTACCTGTAATACGATGAAAGTATTTGTTCACATTAAAGCACACGTGGACTTTGTTGGCTTAGAACACGTACCTGTTGGCAGTACAGGTAGTAATAGAAATATTTCTAGGCAAATGCTAATTTTTGTATGTTAGACCTTTTAATGAATTCACTGCTAAACTTTTAAAAAGTCTTGAAAGGATGTTGTTGTCTTACCATAAAAAAATAATTGTAATAGAGGCATTTGACTATAGTCCTCTTAATTTTGGCTTTAGTTAGCATGTTACTACAGTATATACAAGTATAACTTGCGTGTAGACAAATGATGGTACAATACTATTATTCATGCTATGAACAGATGTTTTTAAACTGCACATTTCTGACACACTAAATTATGTACAGGTTTGGTGACCTCTCAGATTAACACAACCACAGAAATCGGAATTATTTTTCTATTGCTTCCAGCCTTCTTTTATACCTAAATTAGTTTTTTTTGTATCTGTATCCGCTATAGTCATGCTTTCCATTCCTGACAAAAGTTAAATTTTATGCATTCATTTGTAAATGATTTTGAATCATTTTATTTTACTATGTTACAGGCTTACAGGCAATATTCTGAACCTCTAAAAGGGGATATAAGAGAAGGAGATCCTAATATTATGTAGTTACAATTTTATTTATGTAACAGTATTGCCCTCTTGAGGATATGATTATTAAAGCAGGAGTATTCTCTGCCATACAGCAGTCTACTCCTTTGCATTCACAAACAAAGCTTATTCCTAAATTTACAGTATTTTACAAGTGCGTGCAGCTCTGTTTTTTCAATTTATAATATATTTTTTGTTATTAATTATATTTTTGTTTATTTTTGTGTGTAGGTCACTCCCCGACATTAATCTGTTTTATTATCCTGAGCATGCAATCCCAAATTTAAAAATGTACAAAAGCAGGCAGACAGGGGTGTTATCAGTGATGCATCTATACTATCATTGGTATACTGTTACATACTTAATATTTGGGGACCCCTGTTGTTCCATATCATTACAGGTTGGTCCACTCTGATTGTTGTGCTGCATGTTTTATGCAGTGATGTCACTTGCAGTTAGCTGAAAACTTTCCCAGAATTATCATGCTCCTTAGGAGAATGAAATGTGCTTATAACAATGAATGGCAGAATACATCTCAAGCTGCACTCCACGTTCAATGGAAAAATTACGTGCACAATATTCATTGGGATGCTTTCTTGGAAACCTGCATCTTTTGATTGGCAGCATATTCTATTGTGAGGGAATCACAGATTGAGTTACGTACACCTTCGTGTCTTCCTTTATTTGATTGGCAGCCCTACTATAATGCTGGTTGCCTTCAAAAACTCTGGCCAAACCCATATCTTTTTTACAAAGTGTAGCCTTAATATCTGCTTGGAATTTTAGTATGCAGTATCATTCGCCTGTGATTTACCACCTTTAAATCTGGACCTACTAGTGTGACATATTTCAAAGGGAGGCCACAAAGGATCACAGAATGCTGATTAAAAAAAAAATAGTATTTTTCAGCTTTAATGTAGTAATCTGCTGGCAGATTTGCAGTTACAGTGATTTAGTTTTCTTGTCTTTTATTTTTTGATCCCAGAGTTTGACTTTAAACACTCCATATCTCAGGAAAGAAAGGATTGGTTGAAAAATGCCAACCAATGTTTGGCATGCACAGGCGTCTGTCCTGGGAACAAATATTTATTTGATTTCAGGGAATGTCAAGACATGTACATTGATCTTTATCCGACAGAGGCTATCAACTGTTTTACATTGAAATTCTCAATTATACAATATAATAGTAAACCTATTTTTACATCCGCAGAAATCTTTTACTATTTCTTTCAGGGTGTTGTGGGTGGAGTGACTGGCATAATTACCAAGCCTGTAGAAGGTAGGTACATCTTGGATCCACACACTGGCATTTCTCCCATGCTGTTCCTGCAGATTGGAATGTATACAAATCATGTTACTGTGTGAATTCTCCATAATTGCTTATTTGACATGACTGCATGGTGGCTCTGCTAGCAGAATTGGGTGAATAGTTCACATTATGCTGCGGGAGATACAGATATTCTTTATGGCAAACAGATGGCTTTAGCTGATTTGAGAAAGGAGATCATTTACATGCTATAATGCTCTGTAGAGTTTAGGAATGTTTGCTATATGCATTGTACAGATAAGGAATGTTTTGAAGCCAAGTACTTTACAAATGATTTATTCTAATCTATTGGTTGTTGTGGCTTCCTGTCCAAAAGAAACTGAATGTTCATTAATTGCTTTATTTTATTTAAACAGGAAAAATAATTATGGCATAAACGATGGTTGTTAAAGAGCATGTAAACTTAAATTACATCTATATAAGGCATTTCCAGGCATACAGTATATACAAAAGTTTCAGGATCCCCTCAGACCTTAAGACTTTGTGGACCCGGGGATAGCAATTTTCCTGCACGTGGCAGACTTTTTGTAGATGGTCGTTTTGAAAGTAAACTGTAGTCCCTTTTTTTTTTTTAAAGCCTTTCTTATTGTAAAATGGCTATAGTCTAGTGTGGGCTGCACTTGAAGGCTTACTCCAGCCCAAACTTTTTTTTGATACTTTGCAAAGGATTAGAGTTCCTGTTAGATTCCTTCTGCTGGATTTGTCCTTGTTGAAGAGATTTCCTCTTACCACTTTCACTGAGACAGGAAGTAATGAGACTATCCCCAGTAGAGGGATGCAGGCAACAATAGAACCTGACATGTTTTAAAGTAGAAGAAGAACCCAAGCTTTGCTTACCCTCGCTTCTTCCTAGATCCATCGACACTGGTTCACCAGACAGGGTGTAATGGGTTGGGGGTGGGCACCATAGCTATAGTTCTGCTTTAACCCTTTTCCAGTGTACTAAGAAAATGTGTCTTTATAACTGTCTGTGTCCCTTTTTGACATTTTCCCTTTCTTTCTGTACCAACGTTCGGAGTCAGAGACAGGAAGTGAGGGGAAAAATCTCAGTAGATGTTTTATAGTATATAATATGTTGTATGTCAAAATTCAAACTCATTTTTATTTTGGATAGTTTGTAGTGTTTTTTTTTTTTTCTCTTTTTTTGCAAACTATGTCCCATTGGGAGATTTCCCTTCATTTAATGTCCTGCAGACACAGTAGGAAGTAAGAAGAAATCTCTCCAAAGTGAGAAAAATGCCTTTTCAGACTGTTCTTACCAGAAGACAAGATCCCATTGAAAGATTTCCCCTCTTTTCTGGATGTCACTACTCTATACAAAACTAGAAAAAAAAAACGTTGGCTTTAGATACTTTGCCACTTTGCAGCTTTATTCAATCCAAAAAAATACAAATTTTGGCTGAAGTTTTTATTTAAAATCTTAAAATTCATAATTATAATTCTAAATGTGTTTATACAAATATGTTAACTTGCACATGCTTATTTATAGCTTTTTTCTATAATGGTTATTGTTTATAATCGAGAGTGATCTTGTGTAGACATTTATTTTAATTTCATTTGTACAGGAGCCAAAAAAGAAGGCGCTGCTGGGTTCTTCAAAGGAATTGGAAAGGGTCTTGTGGGTGTTGTGGCAAGGCCTACAGGTGGAATCATTGACATGGCAAGCAGCACCTTCCAGGGGATTCAGAGGTATGAATGTTCCATAGAAGAGGAAAGGCACAGCCACCACTGATTCTACATCCAATGTTAGGAGTCAGAGAAAGATTAGTCTAAAATAAAGAGACATGATAATATGTTTCTATAGCTGTTCTATTCAATAGCTCCTTTTTTAGATTTAACAGTCTTGTTAACAAACAACATTTTATTTGAAGAGAAAAAAACATGTTGGAGTGGTCACATGTACATCTAAATTGTTTTCTTTGTATGTTACCAAGTGTTCGCTGGTTGCTTCTGCATGCCACACATGCTTTATTAGGTTTCAAAATGCTTTACCCCTTACATTTAATCTTTTTCTGGTGCTCATTTCAGATTTCAGATATGGCTGAATTAGCATTGATCATGCTTTTTTTTTTTGCTACCCAAAATGTCACTTAACACTGACCTATCCTAGAAAGCACCTACCTAGCAAGCAAATGTGTGTTTAGTTTTTTTTTTTTTACTCATTATTCCTTTATTCTGCAGATTTTAAACCAGTGGACATGTTTTTCCCTTCCAAAAATCTACTTGCTCCACACGTGCAATTTTCCATTCTGATTTTAATGCAAGAAGTTGAGTGTGTGCTGATTCTAACGTTTCCCAGTTTTGCCTAATTTTGTGTTTTTAAATCCTTTTTTAAGTTGTTTGTGAAAGTATTTATCTAACACATGGTATAGCTAGTAGACGTTAATCACATTCAACTGGACTTTTGCTGCTCTTTTTTTTTTTTTTTTTTTTTTTTTTAAGTAGAACTAAAGTCCCATAACAACTTGAGAGAAAATGTTATTTAGCAAGAAACATAAATTCCACAATAATAATTATGCTCTGCCCCTCCAGCAGTCACTGAAGTGTCAGTCTGGTGGAGGTGGTAGGATCAGCTGGCTCAGGCTCTCAGATGCATGCTGAAAGCCTGAGCCAGCTGCCCGTCAGGCTTCTGGGTGGATCCTGACCATATGCTTGTGATCTTTCCAGAGCCTGTACCGAATGAGGGACGTCTGCCAAGAGCTGATTTAGCCTGCTGTTGTGCTGAAAACCGGTCACAGGAGTGCAGAGCAGACTGTACTCTTGTGATCCATGGGTGAAGTAGGGCCAAAAACGCTTTGGCCCTACTTCTCCTTTAACCACTTGCCCTCCAGAGGATTTACCCCTTCCCTGACCAGGCCATTTTTTGCTGTTCGGCACTGTTCTATTTGAACTGGTAACTGCGCGGTCGTGCAGTGCTGTACCCAAACTAAATTTATGTCCTTTTTCACACAAATAGAGGTTTCTTTTGGTGGTATTTGATCACCTCTACAGTTTTTATTTTTGCGCTATAAACAAAGAAAAACCTTAAAATTTAAAAAAAAAAAACGGTCCAAATATCCAATAGACTCAGTTAGTCATAAATTTAGGCTAAAATGTATTTTGCTACATGTCTTTGGTAAAAAAAAAAATCTCAATACATGTATATCAATTGCTTTGGGTGAAAAGTTATAGCTTCTACAAACGATGGTGTATATACAGTCAGGTCCATAAATATTGGGACATTGACACAGTTCTAACATTTTTGGCTCTATACACCACCACAATGGATTTGAAATGAAACAAACAAGATGTGCTTTAACTGCAGACTGTCAGCTTTAATTTGAGGGTATTTACATCCAAATCAGGTGAACGGTGTAGAAATTACAACAGTTTGCATATGTGCCTCCCACTTGTTAAGGGACCAAAAGTAATGGGACAATTGGCCTCTCAGCTGTTCCATGGCCAGGTGCATGTTATTCCCTCATTATCCCAATCACAATGAGCAGAAAAAAGGTCCAGAGTTAATTGCAAGTGTGCTATTTGCATTTGGAATTTGTTGCTGTCAACTCTCAAGATGAGATCCAAAGAGCTGTCACTATCAGTGAAGCAAGCCATCATTAGGCTGAAAAAACAAAACAAACCTATCAGAGAGATAGCAAAACATTAGGCGTGGCCAAAACAACTGTTTGGAACATTCTTAAAAAGAAGGAATGCACCGGTGAGCTCAGCAACACAAAAAAAAAAAAAAAAAAAGACCCGGAAGACCACGGAAAACAACTGTGGCTGTCAGGGCTCCCAGGTATGACCAGAGGTGTGTGACTGAAGCAGGGAAACGCAGACCTCAGATATGTTATAAACAATATAATTTATTAACACTAACAGTACAAACATAAACGCAGTGCAATACTAAAACATAATACGGTGCAAACAAACCAAACCAAACCACCCACAGATAATAGTATATACAAGCAAGCGTCGTCAGGCAGGCCGGGTCAATATCAATTGGGCAGGTAGGTACAGGGGGAGCAAGCGGAGAATGGTCGGGGTCACAGGCCAGGTTCAGCAGGTAGCAAGCAGCATAGTACAGAGGGTCAGGCAGAGGGATGGTCCGGGTCACAAGCCAGGGATCAGAACAGGTAGCAAGCAGCGTAGTACAGAGGGTCAGACAGAGGGATGGTCAGGGTCACAAGCCAGGATCAGAGCAGGAGAAGTCAGCAAAGGAACAGAAACAGGATGCAGGACAGATACAGGGCCCAGGACAAACACAACACCAAGGCAGAGTCTGCAAGTCTGGCCATCCCTTAAATACACCAGTATCATCAGTTCCAGGTGTTGGCTGAAAGGTTGAGTCTCTGATTGCTGGGAGCACCCGCTGGCCAGCCCTGGTACTGCAGATCAAAAGGCAGGTGAGTCCCACCATTGCTGGCCAGTCCATTCCTAACAGTGGCGGATGACCGAAGAATTCTTTCCCTGGTGAAGAAAACACCCTTCACAACAGTTGGCCAGATCAAGAACACTCTCCAGGAGGTAGGTGTATGTGTGTCAAAGTCAACAATCAAGAGAAGACTTCACCAGAGTGAATACAGAGGGTTTACCACAAGATGTAAACCATTGGTGAGCCTCAAAAACAGGAAGGCCAGATTAGAGTTTGCCAAACGACATCTAAAAAAGCCTTCACAGTTCTGGAACAACATCCTATAGACAGATGAGACCAAGATCAACTTGTACCAGTGTAATGGGAAGAGAAGAGTATGGAGAAGGAAAGGAACTGCTCATGATCCTAAGCATACCACCTCATCAGTGAAGCATGGTGGTGGTAGTGTCATGGCGTGGGCATGTATGGCTGCCAATGGAACTGGTTCTCTTGTATTTATTGATGATGTGACTGCTGACAAAAGCAGCAGGATGAATTCTGAAGTGTTTCGGGCAATATTATCTGCTCATATTCAGCCAAATTCTTCAGAACTCATTGGACGCCGCTTCACAGCGCAGATGGACAATGACCCAAAGCATACTGCAAAGCAACCAAAGAGTTTTTTAAGGGAAAGAAGTGAAATGTTATGCAATAGCCAAGTCAATCACCTGACCTGAATCCGATTGAGCATGCATTTCACTTGCTGAAGACAAAACTGAAGCGAAAATGCCCCAAGAACAAGCAGGAACTGAAGACAGTTGCAGTAGAGGCCTGGCAGAGCATCACCAGGGATGAAACCCAGCGTCTGGTGATGTCTATGCGTTCCAGACTTTAGGCTGTAATTGACTGCAAAGGATTTGCAACCAAGTATTAAAAAGTGAAAGTTTGATTTATGATTATTCTGTCCCATTACTTTTGGTCCCTTAACAAGTGGGAGGCACATATGCAAACTGTTGTAATTCCTACACCGTTCACCTAATTTGGATGTAAATACACTCAAATTAAAGCTGACAGTCTGCAGTTAAAGCACATCCTGTTTGTTTCATTTCAAATCCATTGTGGTGGTGTACAGAGCCAAAAATGTTAGAATTGTGTCGATGTCCCAATATTTATGGACCTGACTGTATATTGGAATTGACATAGCTTTTACTTTTGACTGCCTATCACATTTCTTGAGGTGCTAAAATGCCAATGACAGTACAAACCCCCCCCCCCCCCCCCCCCCAATTTTTTGGAAAGTAGACACCACAAGGATTTTGAAAAGAGGCATGTTGAGTCCATGGAACATTTTTTATTTTTTGCCACAAATTTTCTGAATATGAAAATTTTTTTATTTTGTTTTTATACACATATTTTCACTTTAATGATATATTGCTCATATGCATGCCATGGGTATATGTGGAAAACACATTCTCCTACTTCTTCCGAGTATGGGGATACCACACGTGAGAGACTTTTTGGCAGCCTATCTACATACAAGCCTCCAAAATCCAATGACCGCCTCCAGGCTTTCAAAGGCCATACTTCCTCATATCACTTCCCCACTACCTATCACAGTTTCGGGGGCTCTAAAATGCCAGCATAGTACAAACCCCCCCCCCAAATGACCCCTTTTTGGAAAGTAGACACCCCAAGGAATTTGATAACAGGCCTGTTGAATATTTTACAGATATCAGGGTTACAGATATTTGTCACAGGGTTTTGAAAAAGAAAAGAAAAAATAATTTTTTTGTTTTCTTTCTTCGTTTTCCAAAAACATGTGGCAACAAATGACACTGCAAAACACTCAACATGTCTCTTAGCAAATACCTTGGAGTGTCTATTTAAAAAAAAAAAAAAAAAAAGGGGTCATTTGGAGGGGTTTTTTTTTCTACTATCCTGGCATTTCAGGGCCAACATTAGAAGCTTGTGCCACACATCACCCACTCTTGAAGACCAAGCCTTTTCTGACACTTTTTGTTCACATGAATAAACAGTTTTTTTTCTAGAAAATTACTTTGAACCCCCAGACATTATATATATTTTTTTAAAGCAGAAGCCCTAGAGAAGAAAACGGTGGGTGTTGAAATTTTTTATGTCACACAGTAAATCGTTTTCTAAATCAGTTCTGGGAAAAATGGACTTTTTAGAATTTGAATGCACAAAAACACAATATATTGCCCAATAGTTTGAAAAAATCTAAAAGATGATGTTACACAGAGTAAATAGATACCAATCATGACATGCTTTAAAATTGCGCGTGCCCATGCAATGGCAACAAAGTACATAAATTTTTATTATCGATAGGCGACACTTT